ATAAAGAAATTAGACCCTCATTCCAGAGGGGTCCTGCTCCATATCCCAAAGGAATGTGTTAGCAAAAATTAAAATCCTAAGCCTCTCAACTGGCAGAATAGACCCCGCTCTATGCCAAGGTGAGCTGAAAGAAACCTGAAGAACTAATTCAGGCCATGACAAGAAGTGGGGTCTGACCTGCCTTGTTATACTGTGTTCTCTTTGGAGTTAAGACACCACTGACCAGCATTAACACTGAAATAGAGATCATAGGCCAGGCATGGTGGCTCATGCCTGTAATCTCAGCACTTGGAGGCGAGTAGGCAATCACTGAGTCAGGAGTCAAAGAAATGATAACCCTCTAAAAAAAAAAAACAGGCATGGCAGTGGCTCATGCCTGTAATCTCAGCACTGTGGGAGGCCGAGGCAGGCAGATCACCTGAGGTCAGGAGTTCAAGAACGGCCTGGCCAACATGGTAAAACCCCGTCTCTACAAAAATACAAAAATTAACTGAGAATGATGGCGGATACCTGTAATCCCAGCTACTCAGAAGGCTGAGGTAGGAGAATCGCTTGAACCCAGGAGACAGAGTTTGCAGTGAGCTGAGATCACACCACTGCACTCCAGCCTGGGCAACAGAGCAAGACTCCATCTTAAAAAAAAAAGAAAGAAAGAAAAGAAGAAAGGAAGGAAGGAAGGAAGGAAGGAAGGAGGAAGGGAGGGAGGGAGGGGAGGAGGGAGGAAGGGGAGGGGGGGAGGGAGGGAGGGAGGGAGGGAGGGGAGATCATAAGGCTGAAAAAACAGATTCTTTGTAGCAGTAAGACAGCAAATTCAACCTGACCCTCTTATAGTATCACATGACAAATAACAGGCCCCCCAAAAAATCAAAGTATTTTACCCCAAAATATATGTCTTTGAAATATTTTCAGATGGCCCTGCAAAGTTGTCTCTTGTGGAGAAAATCTACATTCAGTAAATAATCCCCTTCCCTTTCCATGTCTTTTCCTGACCCAGGAGAGATTTAACTAAGAGTCTGGCATCTTTTATGTCCCATAAGAGACATTTACATCTATTCTCTCTGAAGCCTATTATTTAGATGCTTCACCTACAAAATAAGAACCTTGATTTCTACAACCCTCCTTATCTTAACTCAAGCATTTCTTTATGCTGACTTCAAGTCATCAGGCAAAGCTTAATTATTATCAGTATTTTTGTTTTGTTTTGTTTTTGAGATAGGGTCTCACCCTGTCACCCAGGCTGGAGTGCAGTGGTGCAATCACAACTCACTGCAGCCTTGACTTCCCAGGCTCCAGCAATACTCCCATCTCAGCCTCCCAAGTAGCTGGGATTACAGGCATGTGCCACCACACCCAGCTAATGTTTGTATTTTTAGTAGAGACAGGTTTTTTCCATGTTGCCCAGGCTGGCCTTGAACTCATGAGCTCAAGCAATCCACCTTCCTTGACCTCCTGAAGTGCTGGGATTACAGGTGTGAACCACCACACCAAACCAAGCTTAATTATTTCAATCAATTGTCAATCAGAAAATCTTTGAATCCATCTATGACCCAGAAGCTCCCCTTCCCCATCTTGCCCCCTCACTTTGAGATGTCCCACCTTTCTGGCCCAAACCAGTGAATACCTTACATACCTATAACTTCTGTCTCCCTAAAATATATTAAACCAAGCTGTAACACAATCCTCTTAGGCGCATGTTCTCAGGGCCTCCTGAGGCTGTTTCACAGGCCCTGCCACTCATATTTGGCTCAGAATAAACCTCTTCAAATATCTTACAGAGTTTGGCTTTTTTTGTCAACAAAATAATGCTACATAGAAAGGCCAAGAAAAATCTGGACAGGCTTTGCTGAGTTTCCTGACTCTGCCTATTAGCATTAGAGCATTAGATTTTATCCTTTTTGTCCAATCATATTTTATATGGCTATCCATACTTCATTGAACATAAGCATAAAATGGAAGTTTTCCCTGCATCTTTGGGTCTTCATTCTGAAGCCTCCCATATCATATGAAACTATGCTTAAATAAATTTATTATTCCTTTCTCTTGATAACCTGTCTTTGTTACAGGGGTGTTAGCCATAATCCATATGATGGAGAGGAAAGTAATCACCTCATTTCTGCCTCTACACTTTCCAGAGCTTAGAAATTCCACATCTAAACTCCAGCAGCAATGGCTGGATCTCCTTATTAGAAACTGCTTCGGCCAGGTGTGGTGGCTCAAGCCTGTAATCCCAGCACTTTGGGAGGCTGAGGCAGGTGGATCACGAGGTCAGGAGATCGAGACCATCCTGGCTAACATGGTGAAACCCCGTCTCTACTAAAAATACAAAAAACTAGCCGGGCATGGTGGCGGGCGCCTGTAGTCCCAGCTACTCGGAGGCTGAGGCGGGAGAGTGGCGTGAACCCGGGAGGTGGAGCTGCACTCCAGCCTGGGCGACACAGTGAGACTCCGTCACAAAAAAAAAAAAAAGAAAAGAAACTGCTTCTCCCTGATATTAATTGTCACTTACTAAACCTCTCTGTGGTATTTTCCAGAGCGTTAAAATGATCTGATGATGGTATCTTGCACACCAGTGATGAGTAAGGCTGATTTAGGAGATCTGACCATCTACTTTGCTTTCTGTTTTACCATTCAACAAGCAGCCTTCACAAAAATGGCTTTTAAGAAGATAGCAGCTCTCAGTAGGGAACATACGGTTCCTTTTCTTTCCCAATGAATGACACCTCCTTCATTTTACTCCTTGTTGCCTATTGCTTAGGGTTCTCCTCATTCTGCACCCCATTCCCAGCTTGTTGATTTTTTAGAGGCAACACTTTCTCATCTACTTTATCTTACTACAAAAACTCTCCCTAAAACCTACTATTAAAAACGCTTCCTGAAAAAGCTCATAGAGTCTCCAAAGCTCCCTACTGAATACCAATATCCATAGTGAAATAGTTTCCTATTTTATCATATAATACATTAACTAATTTCTACCTAAAGCCAAAAGTTAGTAAGAGTTGAATATGTAGAGAGAGAATCTTCACATTAAGCACCTTTAAGACTCAGAATATAATACTATAATACAGGGTATAATAAGCATTTAGAAGTGATTTAATACAAGTATTAGTGAAATGAACACTGTATATGGATCAACATACTCTGATTAATGAAAGTACAAATTCCCAGAGAGCAAATTGATGAATCCAAAGAATTCTAAGAATCTTTAATTATAGTTTGGATATCAAGATAAATTAAATCAACTATGCAATTTCCAAATATCTTTCATACAGGATGATGTAGGCTAAAATAATGATACAGCAAAGTGTTTAATTACAAAATGTAATTCTCCAGTGATAATGTCATGCCAAACCTCTCTTTTGCTTACTAGAGTGTCAGCTTGGTGTTCAAACAGCCAACTTTACTACTGCTAGGTCAAGTTACTGACAGTTAGTTATATAAGGTTAACTCTCACCCAAGAAAATCCCAATAAATAAGAATCGTTATGTTTTGCGTCCTACTTCATGATACAAGAAAGGAGGAATTAATTTTAAAAGGATTATAATTATCTAGCCCAACTTCAGAATCAGTATTAAATTTTCAAAAAGAATAAATTTTCAGAAACAACATTGACATTTGCTACCAATCAAGGATAAAACTTGTTTATACAAATGGTGTGTAAAGACCAAAAGTAACAGAATTTTCCTCACTGTCTTTTCATCCTCCCAAACCAGCCAACTAACTGTTGCAGGGAAACCAGCAGAGGGAGCACCAATCATTGTGGTTTTTTTTTTTTTTTTTTTTTTTTTTTTTAAATGTGTGCTCTGAAAAACAAAAGGAATTGTCTTTTAGTGGATATCTAGATACTTTGTTAAGACTGGTAAAACCCTTATAAAATACAAATATTATTTGCCACTGTTAAATTTCCCCTTTAACTGATTTTAATTAATCAGTATTGAAACATTTTATTTATTGATGCTTTTAATTAAGAAAGTAATACCTGTTTGCTCTACGAAGTGAAACAAATCAGGGGAAAATTTTTTTTAATCAATATTTTCCTATCTTTCCTTCAGATCTGTATTATAAACAGACTTGTGTATCTTTTCACATCCTTCTCATAAAAACAAATTATATATACACATATATATGTGTACTGCTACATGGAGAGACACATAAATATACACACATGCACACATATGTGTACTCCTACATATATGTATATATGTCTCCCCATGTAGGAGTAGCCTCTCTTTAGGTAACAAAATAGCATGAAATATCCTCAGATATACAGTGGAAAATTAGGAAATGTGAAGTAAACACAATGTCAGGCCATATAACAACCATGTGTGAACAGAGTGTCAAAACATATAGGCCTGAAATTATATCACTGCCTTCCAAATGAAAAATCTAAACACGTATGAGTGAATGTGTGGACCTGGAAAAACAAATAAGCAAACCAGAATACAAATATCCGTCTTAAACTGTGATGAGGAAAACTAGGTGAATTAATTTCTGTTTGCAATTTATGTTACCAATCTCCTCACAAAATAAAACAAAAAAATTAGCAACAAAACCACTTAGGAGCTTTAAAAAGTGAAATATATTAAAATGCATTCTTCAAAACTCACAATACTGGCTGGGCACGGTGGCTCACACCTGTAATCCCAGCTACGCGGGAGGCTGAGGCAGGAGAATCATTTGAACCCAGGAAGCGGAGGTTGCAGGTGAGCTGAGATCGTGCCTTTGCACTCCAGCCTGGACAACAAGAGCGAAACTCCGTCTCAGAAAAACAAACAAACAAACAAAAAACCCTCACAATGTTTTACAAATTCTAACTGAAGTAGAGCAAATCTCTTTCCATTCCATTTATTCACGTAATTGAATTAAATAAGCAAAAGAATATAACCACAGATACCAGTGGAAGAGACACTTCATCCCACTCCATAGACAGAATCCCTGAATTTCACTATAGGTTCTGACCCTGTCCAACATCATTCTTTACAAAAAGATCCTTCTAAATTAGTGAGCCCAGGACCCAGAGACCCATCTAGCCAGGTGGTAGCTGTTTTTGTGGATTTACATTTCTGAAGCCAATAAATTCGCCGAGGCTTCCATGGCCTTTACTGTGTATCCCCATCCATTCCTGTCACTCAGCATGCTCTCCTTATTTTCCTCCACGTCTCTGCAGATGCACTTTCAGAACACAGCCTTTTAGAAGTATACTTCATCTTTACCAACTTCTACGTACCCTGATCCCATAGCATGGGGCTATCGTTTCCCACACAGAAAGGAAGGAAATATTGCAGAGGGAAGAGACAGGACGCAAAAGGAAATAATGAGAAAAAACTTACAAGGGTAGAAGGGAAAGGCCCTACTTACAGGGTTCTAAAGAGAAGTATTTCTGGGAGTAGGGAGTAATTAATCAACTGCAGTATCCATCCCATCTCTCCAAAGCAGAAAAAGGTCATTTTATCTGCTTGAAAAAAAAAAAAAAAAAAAAAAAAACTTTTACTAAGGGCTTTAAGCATTTAGAAACTCTTTCCAAAACCACATATTTGTGATAAAATAAGAGAACACAGTATAGGGATCCTCATTTCATAGATGAGGAAAACTGAGGAATGGAGAGGTCAAAAGCTGACTTAATGTCACAGGAAAGGCAGTTGCAGAGTTAGGATAAGACCCAGAGTTCTTGACTCCAGCCCTTTACTTTATCCACAAAGTCAACACAAGCAGTCTAGATTTGTTATCTCGCCCCCTTCTGTCTCAAAGGCTGAGTGACAAAGAGCCCTTAGTGTGATACTGAGTGTAAATGACAGCACAGGAAGTCCATTCTCAGGGCAAGCTGTGAGACTGGCAGCTGAACAGGAGGCCAGAAAGCAAGTCTGTACAGAGCACTTTCAGTCTACACTCACTATCTCGTCCCTACTAATGCCCAGAGTCCACAGAAGGCAAGGGAGGGAGTAGGGGAGGCTGCGGGAGGGTCCACTTAGTTCATCAATTCCTGAGTATCCTTTAGCACCACAAAAGGCTGAGACTTAATGAGAAAGAAATGAATCATCTATAGAACTGAATATTTTCTTTAAAGATGATATTTTCTGTGTGTAATTCACTTATAAATTGTGAATTTTATAACTGTGAACTGTCTGTATAACTACCGTGCAGCTTTTCAAGCAACACTCTTTTCTGACATGGTACTAACCTGTTAATTCAACTCTTTGAAACATGTTAATACAGTTCTCAAGGAATTCCATCTAGTCACGTAACACATGTTTGAAGCTGAAAATGCTGAAAGTGAAGAAAAATTGTATCAAAACAGGTTCAGTATGAATATCAACCATATATGGAAGAAACATTTACATGGAAGCCACACCCATATGGATTCACAGTTGTATCAGCCAAGATACTGTAAGTATACCAAGTGTGTTAGTCTAACCATATAGCATAAAGATAGATTTACTTGTGCTATTATGGCATGGTTGTTTACTGCAAATACAAAAGAAAATGAAGCCTACCATGACCTAATTCCACTGTAAGTTGGATTTTATTATCTTCCTGTAAGCATACATTTCATTACAAATATTTTATTATGAAAGGATGATCAAAGGAGAAAAATAAATTAATCATACATGTACAACAATATCTCAAAGTATAACTTGTAATTTTCCATTTACTGTTAAACTGACCAGCACTTCTTTTTTTTTTTTTGAGACGGAGTCTCGCTCTGTGGCCCAGGCTGGAGTGCAGTGGCCGGATCTCAGCTCACTGCAAGCTCCGCCTCCCGGGTTCACGCCATTCTCCTGCCTCAGCCTCCCGAGTAGCTGGGACTACAGGCTCCCGCCACCTCGCCCGGCTATTTTTTTGTATTTTTTTTAGTAGAGACGGGGTTTCACCGTGTTAGCCAGGATGGTCTCGATCTCCCGACCTCGTGATCCGCCCGTCTCGGCCTCCCAAAGTGCTGGGATTACAGGCTTGAGCCACCGCGCCCGGCCATGACCAGCACTTCTATAGTGATCAAACTATCCTGTGAAAAGAGATGTTTTACATAACCTTATACTTCATTTTAATATTACCAGTTCAATCATATTTAAATTGATGGAAATAGACACAGTGCATTAAAATCTGACACATTCATTCTTAATTTTAGATGTCCAAAAGTTGTGAAAAATTCATCTCTAAGATGCACACTTTGATAAAAAAAAATTTCATTTAAAATGGTTTCTGTTCAAAACATTAGTCATCTATAAAAATAAAGATACATAGGGAATCATTAGTGAAGGAGATTATTTTATATTATTTATTTATGCCTGTATTTTAATTATTTGTAAAGTCAATGAGAAGATAGTTTTTTCCAGAATCTAGACTGCAACATATTTAAAAAGAGAAAGAGGCACACAAAGTAAGACACAGACAGAGATCCAAAGAGACAGAAAAATTGCAAAATGTTCTTACTTAAGACACCAGACTACTTCAGTTACAGCATATGCACTCCTAGGTCAGGGTTCCTAAATCAATAGACTGAAGAAAAACTGCCTTGTCGTCAGAACTCCAAAATATATGGGTCTCAGGAGAAACAAATACGTGGAGCTGTAGATCTAAATCCAAGCTCAACTCTGTGGAAGAAAACAAATTTTGCCTGTAAAATAAGTTGAGCTACTTGACCAGTACATTAGAAATTACACAGCAAAATACTCTAAAGACAGGATCCTAGACTCATTTTCCTTTCAAAAGTAGGGGGTGAACAGATAAGGGACACTAATTGCGGCAAACAGAATGCAAAACTGAAAAGCTTAAATAAAAAAGACTGATGAAAGCATAACATTAAAAAGAGAAGTGTTTAACTGTTAAATCATCCAAATTGCTTTGCCAAATTTTGACATGCTTGGTTTCCTGTAGTAAAATCTCCCTCTTTTTTTTTTTTTTTTTTGGCTTTTGAAAAAAAAAAAAAAAGTGAGGAAAAATAACCAGCTGTTCCTTGTATAGTTCAGGAAACAAGTTTGATTTATTACTTTAAGGTTATTTTTGAATGAGCTGCTTGTGGCAGCCAGAGTGCAGAAGTCACTGAGGCCTGTCCACTTGAAGGGCTCAAACTGTTTCCTGAACAGCCCTTCTTCACTCCTCACCTCCGACGGCTATTATTGACAACGTGTGACTGGGGCCTTCTAGGATTTTATAACAGCAGGGGTCCCAGCCAAACAATCGGGCTGTCAATTACCTTTTCCCCTGTTGTGAAAGAGGGGCCCAAGACAATGCAACTTCTCAGCAGGGAGTTGTGCAGCTCCAAGAATGTAACCCACTCTTGCATCGTTCAGCATTCAAAACCAAGTAAATGGTTGGTGCCTTCACTTTTGTCTGTGTGTGTCGGTGCAAACCAGAATTACTGCAAGGTGTAGATGTCTCCATGGCCGGAATTTTAAGTTCTTGCTAGGGCAAAAATGACTCTGTACATTGTTATCTCTGAGCTTCATGGAAGTTTTTTCTAAGTTCCCAACAGACACAGAAAGTCTCCCTCCCCCCACCTCCCAGCCTCCTTCTGTAAGCTTGTCCTCCGGGAACGCCCAAGCCTCTCTACCTATATTGTGGCTTAAAAAACTTCCTGTGGGCATTGATGACTTGCTGTGAGCACTGTCCATCATCCTGGCCCTTTGTCTGGCAGTCACTTCCATTCGAATTTGACTGACTGAGGCAGCCTGAGTTATTTGTAAAGAACAACAAGGCTTTTCATTCATAATTTTAGTAGGGGGACAGGGTGCTAATGACTGAGCTTGAAAAACTAGGGAATGTGGTATTCAAGGCAGGAAGAAGCCCAACTGGCTGCCAGATGAGGGAAGGAAAGGATGTAGGTGAAAAGTGCCCGCATAAAAAGCCAATGACATGAAGATCACATGTATACAAATAGAAACTGAGTTTTTAAAAGGTGAGATAATCTGAAGGATGGAAGCAGGAAGGAGGGCAGGGAAAGTCTATCAGGATTTCATTAACTTTGAGGTCGAGTTACGTGCCAGAGTTTACAGAATCCGAAACCCTATAAAGTGTCTACAAAGAAAGTGATCTTTTCTTCCACTGCTGGTTCTCCTACAAAAACAAAAGAAATAAAATAAAAAAACAAAAAAAGGGGAAAACTGGTTTTCACTCTTTTTTGGTACCTTTCACCTGTTCAGACAAAGAGAGTTTGTTTTCCCCCTTTGGAACCAAATCTCCAAAGAATTTACTTTTGGGGTCTCTAGTCCATTTTATGTACATACAGCATGAACATAATGTGTAATGATTTTACATATCTGCTGCTTCCAAAGAAGAAAACTTGCAAAAAGGTAAATTTATGGTTGAATTATTTGTATAGGTAAGTCTTATGTGATTTATCTTTCTTGCAAAAATAGTAAAATTGTGTTTTCTTTTTTTAAATTCAGCAATTAAAAGTCACATTGAACTTTTCATGTATGATTTTGTTCAACGATTCATAGAAAAAAATTGAAATAGCAATATTGCATATTTGCAATCTATTGTGAATTAGCAGAATGATACAAGGTGCTTTAAAAAAATTTAATTCTGGCCAGGTGTGGTGGCTCACACCTGTAATCCCAGCACTTTGGGAGGCAGAGGCGGGTGGATCACCTGACGTTGGGAGTTCAGGACCAGCCTGACCAACATGGAGAAACCCCATCTCTACTAAAAATACAAAATTAGCCAGGCACGGTGGCACATACCTGTAATCCCAGCTACTTGGGAGGCTGAGGCAAGAGAATCGCTTGAACCTGGGAGGCAGAGGGTGCAGTGAGCCGAGATCGCACCACTGCACTCTAGCCTGGGCAACAAGAGCAAAACTCCATCTCAAAAAAATAAATAAATAAATGTAATTCCGTAAGTGAAGAATTTTTCAATCATTTGTAGAAAATCTTTACTATGTTTCTTGCATTAAAGCAAGTCAAATAAAGGCAACAATTGAACAATAACAAATGCTGATTTTTGTAGAGATTGGCAAAAATAATTTTTCAGGCAATGAGACTCTGGCTCTTTCCATGTTTAGTCTATTAGGATTTGCGTTCTCAGGGAGCACTTAGGGCTACTGAGGCCTTGGTCAAAGTTCAGACCCTGGGTTGGGTGCTTACTGATCACTAAATTCCTAAGCCATGAGCAGACCCAACAAACCTTCCTAAAAACAGAGGAGCTATTGCCACTACTCCATGGCCCACATCCATGATTTCCTTTCATTCTGACAACCATTCTGTTCTGTTCAGTGGGGAAGCAGAGGCATGTACTTTCCATTCATTTCCATCTAAGTACGCAACAAAAGCAAAGGCCAGTGAACAGATAGCTGAGGAGTTCCAACACTAACCTAAAGTAGGCCTTTAGTGGGCTTGTATTATTATCATTTATTAATTTAATTTCATCTGTATTTTAAGTGTATATATATATATAAATATATGTATATGTAAATTGAAATAATGTTAGATAGACCATGTCATCTTGTGGCTTGCTGTGCCACCTGAGCATATCCTCACAAAAACCCTTAGGTTTTTGAGAAAAGGATTAAATAACTTACCCCAAGTCTTAGGATAAAGATAGATTGAAAGCTCAAGCACACCCTGGTTATTCTATATTCAAAGCCAAGTGAAGCCTCACCATGCTCTTCTGTCCACTATCTCTTGGAACCTGGAACCTGAAGCTCAGGCAATTGTTCCATGAATGACAGATGTCACAACTGGCTGAGTCCAAGCTCAGGTCAAAACGTGAAGTAAGTGAAGGTAATAACCTTTAGTATCTTCTTAGACTTCCCCATCAGCTACCTCTATCCTCTTCTTTGGTGGTGTATGTTAATAACTGGCTTCCTGGGATTAAAAAAACAAATTTCAACATCTGGGGATGTCTACGTTGTAAACACATTGACCACGGCTAATTCTCTTTTCTTTTCTTTTCCTTTTTTTTTTTTTTTTTTTTTTTTTGAGACGGTGTCTCGCTCTGTCACCCAGGGTGGAGTGCAATGGCACGATCTCAGCTCACTGCAACCTCTGCCTCCCAGGTTCAAGCAATTCTCCTGTCTCAGCCTCCCAAGTAGATGGGATTACAGGCACCCACCACCATGCCTGGCTAATTTTTGTGTTTTTAGTAGAGATAAGGTTTCACCACATTTGTAAGGCTGGTCTCAAACTTCTGACCACAGATGATCCACCAGCTTCAGCCTCTCAAAGTTTGGGGATTCCAGGCATCAGCCACTGTGCCTGGCCACCATGGCTAATTTTTGAACCTGACATTACTAAAAACATGGGAAGAGATGCACATATTCAGCTCTTGCAAGCAAGTATAAGCCTGTTCTAGCACCCACCATCATCTATCCATACTTTGTTTCATGTCTTGTCTACATTCTATTCTTGTTTTCGGTGAGCTATGAATCCCTATTATGAATTCAAAGTATAATAATATAATGATTTTCATTTATTGAAGGGTTATTAGAAGTCAGACATCTTCTAAACACCACACGCATTAAGCATTTAATCCTCACAGTGATGCTCTGACATAGGAAATTCTTTTATCCCCCACTTTACTGGTAAAGAAACTGATGCACTGGGAGATTGAATAATGTATAAAAGGCCACCTTCTAGATCAACATAAATCATACTCTATGTGAAGGTTCTTGTTATCTTATTTTTTTTAAATCTCCCCATGTAATTCTAATATATGGCCAGGGTTGAGAACCATTAACATAGTTAACAAAACAAGAATCCTTGCTATTTGAAAAAAATATAATAACATCCCTATTGCATGTGATTAACTATATGTTAGGTCTTGGATAAACCTTGATTCAAAGTTCTATTTGGTTGTGTAGAAACATATCATACATTGAAAAACAATAGCTCTGTAGAAATAATGAAGTGAGAATGTGGGTTATCTTTAGGATATAATATAGTTTTCTAAAAAAAAAAAAAATTCTGAATAACCTAAGTATCTCAATTCATAAGGTATCAGTAAATTTTATAATGACTTTCTGACTGTCATTTCAAATACCACTGATTTTTATTTACTTATTCCACTTAATTTTGTGTTACCAGATAAAATACAGTATGAGACATACTAAGAAACTGTTGTTTAGCTGTAATAAAAATGTAACTGATTGTTCTACATTTTTGTTAGCTCTGGCAACTATAGATTAATTTGGGGTGAGAATTGTCATGCTTTGAATCAAAATGTCACATAAAATCATGTTCCTTTATTATCTTTCATCAACCAAACTTGTCCATCCACCACGCTTGGCCTTGAGAGTATACCAATAAGCAACTTGGCTTTATCATTCATACCAAATAAATTCTGGATGATTCACAGAAAAAAAAATGCAAATGTTAGGCTGGGCGCGGTGGCTCACGCCTGTAATCCCAGCACTTTGGGAGGCCAAGGCGGGCGGATCACAAGGTCAGGAGATAGAGACCACAGTGAAACCCCGTCTCTACTAAAAATACAAAAAATTAGCCGGGCGCGGTGGCGGGCGCCTGTAGTCCCAGCTACTCAGGAGGCTGAGGCAGGAGAATGGCATGATCCCGGGAGACGGAGCTTGCAGTGAGCCGAGATCGCGCCACTGCACTCCAGCCAGGGGGACAGAGCAAGACTCTGTCTCCAAAAAAAAAAAAAAAAAAAAAAAAAAATGCAAATGTCCAATGAATATAAGAAAATATGCTAAACTTCTGAAGTAAACAAAGAAAAACATGAAACAACGAGATATTCTGCTTCATCTACCAGATAAGCACTTATTTATTTATTTTTGAGATAGAGTCTCTCTTTCACCCAGGCTGGGGTGCAGTGGTGTGATCTTGGCTCACTGCCACCTCTGCCTCCTGGGTTCCAGAGATTCTCCCGCCTCAGCCTCCCAAGTAGCTGGAATTACAGGCACCTGGCATCATGCCCAGGTATTTTTTTTTTTTTCTTTTGGAGAGACGGGACTTTACCATGTTGTCCAGGATGGTCTTGAACTCCTGACCTCAGGTGATCCGCCCACCTTGGCCTCCCAAAGTTCTGTGATTACAGGCGTGAGCCACTGTGCCCGACCTAAGCACTAATTTAAAATTATCGGGAATCCAGTTGGTATGAATGATAATGTTAAATTATAAATGTACTAGAAGGGCCAATATTTTTATAATTTGGCTACAAGAAGCTATTTTAAGCAACTGAACACAGCCAGAAACCACAAATGAAAAAATTGATAGGCATGAGTTTTCACACAAGTTGAAAATGTCTTGTATGGCAAAACACAAAATAAAAGGAAAAATACTGAAAGTAGGTTTGAAAGATAAATAGAAAATGGGAGAATATTTGTATTTTTAAATAGGATACATCAGAAAATAAATAAATGAAGGACAAGCCTCTCAATTAGAACATGGAAAAAGGATATGAACTTGAATTCACAAAAAGAAAAAAAAAAGCAAATGTCCAATGACTATAAGAAAATATGCTCAACTTCTGAAGTAAACAAAGAAAAAATGGAACAATTAGATATTCTGCATCACATACCAGGTAAGCAATGATTTAAAATTCTGACAAAGCTTGCTATTGGTCAGGGTTTGGGGAAATAGTCACTCTCACAGACGGGTTAGAAAAGTAAACTGGAATAATGTTTTGGAGAGCATATTAGCAGTATTATTAGAAATTTTAGATATGCACACATTTGATTCAAATTCTATTTTCATGAATGTATCCTAAGAAAACACAAATGTGCAAATATAAAGGAGCATGCTTATTACAACACTATTTCTTCTAGCAAAGCAACCTGTCCCCAAACCTCCAGATGTCTGGAATCTAATGACTAGCAATATGGAATTTTAAAGTAAATATTCACCAAATATTAACCAGAAATGCCACTATGATGTCTCAAATATACTTACAGAATTCTTTCTCGGATTTTGCTTTTATAAGTTTAGGAACTGTTTGAGTTTCTTTTTTTTTTTTCCATACAGTGAGTATATAATTCAGAAGATAAATAAATAAATCCATTTGCCATTTGGAGAGCAATTATAGGAAAAAAAGAACATGTGCACTTTTTTCTGGATAATTCTGGAACATAAAGTACTCCATATAAATTGATGAAAAATGGGTATTAAAATATACTAGAGATTTTTGTTAAAATTCTCTACTACTGAAAGCATACTAAATCCCTCCTGATCCCAGCTGGTTCTTTTTATAACACCTGCTGAGCCATGATGCTAGTGACTACATGGAAGAGGTACTTACCCTTCAGGTACTGCAAGCTGACGGAGGGTATTTGATATTATCTTAGATTTAAAAAGTATCACGATTTGTAATAACTTGAAACATAGTTATGAAGGTGGAGGAAAAAACAACTTCTTTGGAGAATATATCTCCAAAGAAGGTTAGATCCAGAGATAACTGTTTCCAGTCCTTCAAGCAATCTAGATAAGAACTCAAATGGTCTATTTTGAATTCCTTTGCATCTTTTGTTAAAACCCCCCCCCTCACCCCCC